GCCGCCCCAGGCCAAAGTTCTGTCCACTCCCACACCTTCAACGACGTCGGTAGCAACAGCAACCGTAGCAACGCAACCGACACGACTGAATAGCTCATATAGCATACACTCGTTATTGGGCGGCAGCGGTAGCAGCTCCTCCAAGAAGAGCCATGACCAGCCGGCCGCAATAATCAGCAATGTGCATCATCAGCATCATCATTCATTGTACGCCAGCTCCGCTAGCTATCCACGCTCCATGCTCAATTCGCCCAACTCACCAGAAATGGGAGGCAGTAATGGGGGTAAGTCACCGTCTCATGCGGCTACCAAGAAGCAACGTTCACCGCCTTATGCAGCTGCCGGCTCACCGTTACCTATCGACTATGGACGACGCACACCGCCAGATAGCTATAAATTGGCACAAGCGCACGCACAGCAGCTACAGCATCATTCCTTCTATGCTCCATATAGTGGCGCTACAGTTTCGCCGCACATTCCACAGGCGGGCGGCGGAACCGGCACACGGGACCTGCTATCACCACCACGGTCATCAAGTGCTTCACCACGTGAGCCGGCAACAGCCTCTGTTGCTGTCAGTACACCTCACCGCACAGTGCCCAAGAAGACTGCATCGATTCGACGCGAATTCGCCTCACCTACTGCCAGCAATAGTAATAGCAGTAGCACGGCCAATAGTTGCCCTTCGCCAGGCGAGCGTAGCACATCGTCTCCGGAACGGCGGCATCTTCAACTGCAGCGTGGCTCGCCTAGCGCTGTTGCGGCTGCAGCTGCTGGTTCGCCGTTGCACTATTACATGTATCCGCCAACGCAGCTGAATGGCAGCGGCACGGCTAGCCCGCATGGAATAGCGCCGAATGCAACGCCCACGACTAGCAGTACTGCGGTGGCCGCAGCTGCTGCCGCGGCTGCTGCAGCTGCATACATTCCATCGGTAGTCTCGCCCTCTCTCTACCATCCTTACATATCGACGCTTGCCGCGTTGCGGCACAATCCGTTGTGGGTGCAGCATTACCAGGCTGGTGCATCGCCCCTATTGCCGCCACCGCCTCCGCATCCACATTCACACCCACAGACGAGTAGTGCGGCTGGATCCCGATTATCACCACAATCGCCGTATCATCCGTTTAGCTATAATGGTGTCAATGCGGCGGCCGTGGCCGTAGCAGCGGCTGCTGCAGCCTCTGCTTTTGGGCAGCCAACATCGAATCCGCATCTGGGACATCCAACGCATCCAGGGGCTTTGGCGCATCAAAATACGCCGCCTACACATTTGGCCGAGCACAGAACGCACACGCCAAAACTGACTGATATTTGTACTGACCAAATGTCTGCAGCGTCCAGTCATCGAACCACCATCTCCAGCTTACCAGCCGGCTCTAGCGTGTCCGTAACGTCTGCAGGTGCAGCGCAAGGTGGTGGTGGTGCAGGCAGCGGCAGCACCAACTCAGTACAATCCGCAATGTTTCAAAATAGTAGTCTAAGAAATGAACTAAGTTCGGGTGAGCACCATTGTGTAGTATATAAAGTTAACATTAAAATTAAACTGTATATTCAACTATTTCAGACTTACCACTGAATCTGTCAAAACACTGAGACATTCGCGTTCACTCCACCATCCTCCTGGCCCCATCCATCCCAGCAGCTTCAGTGTGCGTGTGGGCAACCCCTCGAGTTAAGTACATTATTGCACTAGTAGCGCTTAAGACGACATTCAAACAACACTACACACATAAAACTTATGAATAAGTTCGCTGCTATTTATTAGTTGTAACTCAATTGTTTTGCATTAAGCTAGCTAGGGTTTATTTTAAGGCCGAGAGACAATTCGAACTACAAAACAAGAAAGAACAACTGCGAGTTTTTCGAAACAAATTTAAAAATGTTTTCAAAACCGTTCCAAAATCAGTTAGGAATATAAATAACAAAAACATTATTTGGCAAACATATTCAATAACCTAAGTTTTGAGTAATATGATATATATATATATTTTTGTATATTCCCATAGGATGCACGTCTTAAAGAATCTCAAAAAATATTTAAAGGCCATTATTTCAATGTCAGGTTACAAAATGAATTTGTTTTAACCGTTCATTGAGTAGATGGACCTAAGATTTTTTTATCAAAACATTTCCTTGAAACAGACTGAACTTAAAATTTTTAGAGAAAAAAAAGCGGTAATAAATTTAACATAAGCCACTGCATCTTACTTTTTATGTATGTGTGTGTGTATATGTAACAAAACATTTTGAAAATAAGAAAGAAAAACTAAATAAAAAACAAACAAATCAGATTTTTAAAGAATGCGTGTGCCTTTGAACATGAAAATAAAACTAGGAATTAAAAAAGATAGTAATTTACTACAATATAACTAAATACACATGGAAACATTCACACATATACAAAACAAGCAACGTTATTCTAAAATGCATACTTAACTGTATAAAAGGGTCAAAAAAAACAAATGTAAATTTTAAATAGTTGACATCCGATTTTATATTGAGTCCTGGCCATACATTTTTAATGATACACAAAGTTATTAAATTGAAATTGATCACACTTTAAGCTATTATATTTTAAAATGAATATGTAGCAAAATATTATTAAATTATTATTTTGCTATATTTTCATTTGATATTCCACTATACCACTAAACAATATGTTAACAATTATAATTAATTAATTGAATAGTCTAAGATTAAAGCTTGTACAAGTTAATCTTAAACATTTCAATTGATGGAACTAAAAAAGTATCTTGTATGGCTGCACTTTATATAAAATTGTTGTTTCCGCCAACATTAAATCAAAATTGCTAAAATGTACAAAAAGAATGCTACATCTACATATACAGAAAATATTTACATACAAGAAACACAGACCTATATTTCGTACAACTGAAACTAATACAAATAATTAACGAAATGAATATATATTCCTAAAAGTAAAAAAGACAAAAATATTTCTCATATTTTCTAAATTATTTATAAAATACAAATGACTATTTATATGTTATGCTATAAGTAAAAATAGTTGTAATTTTTGTAAATACAGTATTTTTACACCGAGAACAATGTAACAACAACAGCAACAAAATGAGTAAATAGATTACCCATATATTTAATATAAAGCTATTTTTTTAAAGGATATTAAATTCATATACTGATGTATACACAATAATAAAACCTAAACAATTCAAAACCCAGAATATATCCCTATTTAACGTTAACGCTTTTTTAAAGTTAACGTTAGTTGCATAAAATAAAGAAATAACAGATTGTCCATAAATTATTCCGCCGAGGGTCTACTATTTTCCAGAAATTATAATTTTAGCACTGTGTGCAACGTTTTTGTTTGATAATATTTGTATCCTTTTTTTAAATATTTTTCATCAGTTTGTTTATATGTAGAACGCTGGCAACGTTTGTTTAAGTGTACTGTGTGCATTTATAACGCTGAATGACGAGGTTTCAAACACTAAAAACGCGAACCTAACTGAAAAACGCGCGATAGGGTTATATAGTATAGTAAACATATATTGAATATTGCGTCGTCTATATGGTCAATAGATCAGTGTAAAGTAAACCAGAAAGAAAACTAGTTTTAAACAAATAATATATTTTATATACATACATAAAACTGAAACTGAATTATTGATGTCAAATAAAATTTATACTAAATGAATTTTAGATAGTTTTAATTTGTATAGATACCAGTTTTGAAGAAACTTCAACGCCAAGGTAAGTCAAAAAGTTTGTACACTTTTTTTAAGATATTTTTTTTGAAAATGTTGAATATCTTAAAAATCAACCATAAATGAACACCCCTGGAGGAAAACAATATTTTCTTGGTGTTGCATACAGTCTATCGAAGAAGCACATTTTATTTATTTATGTTATTTCGATTAAAGTATACATCATTTATATATGTGTGTTATCTGTCGTAAGTATATGCTTGCATATATTTATAAATTACCCGGCGTATTTATTATTTCTCTTTTTTGCGGCTTTAATGTTTGTATGTAATTAGTTCTTTTGAATTGCTTTTATCTTGCAGCCATATATATTATCTTAATGCAATAAACATAGGATTACAAAAACCAAAAATGCCATTGCAGCAAATAGAAAAAGTGGAGTAAAATATAATAGCTTATCATAAACAAAAAGCCTTAACGTAAATACATATTTTAATAGGATACATTCATTATCTGTGTTGTCTGTGTTACTGTGGATTCAGTCGCATAAAATCAAAGTAAGTTAAAGAACAAAAATCATGAAAACAGATTTTACAAGTTCTTGTTGAAGCAATTATGGAGAGACAGTATACATTATATATGGCCTAACATAGTGAACACATGATTTCTAACTTGTTAAATGTTTCATGAAATATTGGGTAACCTTTTCAGAAAATAACCAAAATCAATCAAAAAGTAAGGACCAGTGAACTATATATTTCACAACAAGGTGGTCAAACTAAAAGTTTAAACTTATAATTTAAATGTAGTATATTCCAATAGTTTTAACTGTTTTGGGTAATATCGAAATAATGATGTTTTCAATCTAAAGTCGCATGTCACATCCCTTTTACATTTACGACCAGACCCATCGCTTATTTTTGCATTTGCAGTTACACAAGTTCTAGATATTTCGGCTAATAATAATCCTTATTTAATGCTTACAATTAAAACACACTTTTGCGTGTTCCCAATTAATCCATAATACACAGCATGGCATACTATGTTCAGAATATGATGCTGCCGTACTTTGCTGACTACCTGATCCACGGGTTTAATCACTTCGACCGAGAATGGCCTAATATTACAAAAAACCAGAAAACACAATAATTTGTTTTTGTAGTTACTTAACAGACGAAAAAATTAGTTTACATAATAACAGTATTAATTATAATATTCATATAGATTAAACAATACAAAAAATTACACACTTACTTTAAATATATATATTAATAGGATACATTCATATTCATTATAATTTATATGGGTGTAGAATCTTGTGTCAATCAGGAGAACGAAAAACCCTTGAACAAATTCTAAAGGTCGACAAGACAACATTACAGAAAAGAAAGAAATAATATTAAAGCACTTATGGTGCGACAGAAGCGTATGGTCTGTTAATAACTATTTCTAAGCTGTGTGTGGGTGTATATGTGTATCTTGGCCTTATATAGTGAACACATAGTTTTGAACTTTTTTGTGGTTGTATGTATTATATAAAAAAATTGTACTACGCCTCATCCGAAAACGTAAACAGAAGTGTAGACCGATAAGTAAGAGGAGCTGGGGATTCTGAGGGAGTGTCTATGCCTGTGTGCAACAAATTAAAGGTGTAGTTCACTGTTTGTTGTTTTTAGAGAAATTATGCGAGGCCCAATTGAGTGACGTTTTCCATGAATTGGCCAAAGCATCACTGAATTTCGCTTGAAAATGTTTTCGTGCATTTTCCTCAGTGTAATCCAGCACCTATTGTAAAAGATATTAGATAAATATATAATGAAAGGAAAAAATACTTACCAAAGTCTCACGTAAATAGTTTAAGTCCTTCTCTGAGGAAAGTTCCGGCAGTCCCGTTGAAATCATCATTGAGAACAGCGATAAAATAAGGCAACCATGTTTGCGTAATATTAAAAATGCCTAAAACCCATTTAAATGTTTTTTAAATTCTCAAGTACAGTTTAAAGTTTTATTTCAACTTACGCGTTCACACAAATCCTGGAAGTAGCAAAACTCCTTTGCCTCGCGGTCAATACAACCTTTGTTGATGACGTAGACAAAGTCGTGGGTAAGCACAAAGGGCACACGTTCGCGTCGCACTCCGAACTTCTCTTTAAAGTGGCCCAAAATGTGACCAAAGTCAATATGGAAGAGCTACGAAATGTGAACCAAAATTATGTTTGTATAATCTAAATAGTCTGATTTACTCACCTGTCCATTACGCTTGACCATAATATTGTCAGAATGACGATCGGCGACACCCAGCACGTAGGTGGCAACGCAGTAGCCAGCACAGCTAAGCGTAAACTCGTTGATGGCTTTGTTAAGTTTCTCAGGCGCTTTGTTGTGCTCTTTGAGCCAACTGTAGAGCGAGCCTTTTTTAAATGGTGATGTTGCCGAAAACATGCCCTTTTCCTTTTGTATATTAGCAATTGTCTCTGAATGACGAACCACCTCAATCATACCCAACCTTTGTTCCATGCTAATGCAGTTGTAGATGTTCATACGCAAATCCAATCTTAGGTAATAAAAAACTTTCGATTAATATAAACTTTCGGGTGATTGACAATTTCAAATTAAAACGAACCCTTCGCGTTTCCATAACTGATCCATGACGCGTAACATTTGCAGCGTGAGCATGTCCTGGCGCAGATCGTCGCCGTTTTTAAATATGATGTACACATCATTGGCCGTCTGATCCACGTTTTCAAATACTACCCAGAGCGGTCGCATCTTGCTGTCCATCACTTTACACTTGTCGGGTGTGACGCGACTACATCTGAAGCTTGGGTTTAAAGGGTTTTGTATATTTTGGAAGACGCCGTTATTGTGCTCGTTGCGGAGAAAATTCTGCAACACGTTGCGTACTTTCTCCTTGCTACCTTTCTTGGCTATCACGGATCCCTGCTTTAGCTTTTCCAACACCTCGAGTTGCTTGCGCAGTGGCTTGACATGCTGTTTGCAACCTTTAAGGTAAGCTTCCAGAAGCAGACCAAACCGCGTCTGCATGCAGGGCGTTTGCATTTCGGACCGCAAATGCCAGAAAAAATAATGTCCAATGCGTTGATTACGCAGAGCTCGTTCTAGCAAAAATATTACCAAATCATTTGCTAAATATGACTCATGCTTAATTGCCTGCACCAGCTGTAATAAGTACAACAGAAGTTCTTCGTCTCTGCGAAAACATACAAATACATAAAAAAAATAAGTTTTTCAATTGTCGCAAAGAATACCCACTTGAGTTTATGCAGACACTTGATGGCAAATCCGCGCACGGCAGGATCAGGATAGGCATAGTCTAGCAGTTCCAGCGAGCGTTCAATGGATATCAACGGCCACATCTTGAGCAAGCTCCAAATATCAGACACATCATCGCGATCTTTCCAGTAGACGCATTGCAACAGCACAGACAGATTCTCTGGAAATTCGTCTAATATATCGTTTCTGTAAAACACAAATGCTTATTAGTTGTTGGATGATGAGACTAAGTAGCAAATCAACTTACTTGTGCTCCCATATGGTATTGCGATCTTGGTCCACCATTTCGTAGATCTTGTCTTTACCCGAATAATTGGCCAGTAGGTTGCCAAGCAGAGCTTTGTCTCCCTCTGTCATTACTGGTTGTTTATCACGATTGGAATACGCACGTTCTGCTGCATATTGTAGAACTTCATCCTCGCTGGGATAGCAAACATCGACGTTGCAGTTCTCATTGGCGCCTTGGTGGAATGTTAAATGCACCATGGCGCAACCGTCAATCCGTGGATTTGACTCGACAGTGCCCAGCGAGTAAAACACATCATCCGACTGGATATCGTCGGCATAGGTCCATGTGTATAGCGTTTGACGTCCCTTGCGCAATTGATCTTTGTAGTCAAAGAGCGTTGTATTGACCCAGGCTAATGGATTGTTATTGTAAAACTCATCCTTAAGCGTGCTGCTGTTATTAGAAGATTTCTTCGAGCGCGACATTTTGGTCACCTCGAAGACCACAATACACAGACGCGTCATTCGCGGCAGGTTTCGCATTTGTATATCAAATGTCATTACGTTATTATCAAATTGAAAGTCCTGCGAATTGCCGCAGCTGGGTGCATCGACGGTAAGCTGGGAGCACAGTTTGCGTTTTCCATGATAGAGACCAACATGGACGCCTACTTTAAAGGCCCGAGCACGATCGAAGTTGACATTGGTAACGCCGTGCAGTGTTAACGTGAAGTTCACATTCTCCAAATCCCATATCACGGTCATGGGCTCTAATGGGAGTTGTGCGATTTGAGGATTTGGTTTTGGTGGCTTTTTTTGCCCCAGACTTTGCTCGCTGTAGTGGTTGATGTAGGACTCGAGTCGCAGTACCGATTGAAGAACCACATTTGGCACGGCTGCATCAGAGAGCATGTCTTGTATATACAGGAACTGTATCAGCGGATGATCACCAAACAGATACTCATCACGACCGCTCACCTTGAGTATGTAGTCGGCGGCGCGATCGTTCATCTTCATTTGTGAGCGGTTCATCTTTTGGAGCGTGCTGTCGATCAATGTGAGCGGCGTATCATGCTCTAGCACAGACAACGTGAATGTGCTCTGATCGTTCTCGTTCTTGACGGCAATCAGAAATGCCGAGCTTGGATGACGTTGCCGAATTAGCTCTGGCATGGCTGTCGAGTTGGCCAACCGCAGTGGATGCTCGTAGAGTAATCGTTGCTGCCATGAATATCTTGAGCGCTCCTCTTTAATTTCATCGCACACAAGTGACATCTTTGTGCGAAAATAATCTACTTCTGGTGTAGTCTGATTGTTTTGATGATCGAACGATGTGCCAATTATGTCGGTAACCATTTTGGTCAGCTCATAGTCGCTGGAAAAGGTGGTCGTATCGACGCGTTCCCCTAAACTAAGCAAGCCAAAGTAGGGCTGCACCTCGAACAGACGCTTTGTCTCGTCCGTATACGGCTCGATAGTGTAGTGCGAGATGCCAAATACCTGATAATCGCAGGCATCCTTAATCATATAGCTCAATGGCTGAAATTTAGCCTCTGCCACTATTTCCGCTTTAACCTCGCGTATAGTTGCCGTGGACTTGACGAACAAATATATCATCAGACCGTTGGGTAATAGGCATGTTAGACGGACAGTGTCTGGCGGATCGTACTTCCAGAGATCAATCGAGAATCTGCTGAACATGTACGTCTCGTTTGAATACAATGTATCGCCCATGGCTGTTTTTTTTCAATTTATGTATATATTTATTAACTGTAATTTAAATATATGCCTATAGATATATATATATTAGAGTGAATTACTCTATCTGACTCTTTGTCACACTCTTGATCGTTCGCTTGTCTTTTACTCGTTTCGCATACAGTTTCGATTTATTTGTTGTGACTTATTATCAACAGCTTTTCCTTTAAATCTTGTAATTGTTGCACACTTTAAGTGCATATTGTTTTTGTTACATACGAGTTTTTCCATTTAAACGTTGGCCTTCTCTGAAAGGGAATTAAATCAAAATGTGGCATTGAGTAATTGCAAAAGTAAGCAGAGGGAAATAAGTCGCCCGCTTTGATAAGATGTGGCAATAGTTAAGACTTTCTAATGGAAAACTTTGAAACGTTTTAAAAACAGTTCAAATCGGTTAAAACCGAATTTTGACATTAAATTGTATATACATATAAAATTTTCATGACTGGCTATTAACTAAAGCAGTAAAGTGTAGATTAATAAATTAAAATGTTAAATTTGTAATTAATAACGAAAAAAGAACATGAAAAGATTTCATTAACAAAACTCGTAAATTTAGAAATTTTAGTTCGCCGTATGGATTAAATAAAGCTCTAAAAGATTGACTTTATATTTAGTATGAATCATACATTATAGCTACAAATATGCACAGCGGGGAGGTGTTGCGACGGCGACGGCGGTGGCAATGGCGAATCAGCTAAAAAAGAAATTCAAATCGTATGACGAAGTTAGCATACTCTATATGCTAGCAAAAGCTATGGTATATAACTATTATTTGGCCACTTTTTTTGTATTATCATTACTATAGTTCAGATTAAAACGCTAGTGCTTTTTTAAGGCCAATGTTGTTGGAGTCATATTTGCGCACTTTCAGCATTAACGTGCCTAGCCACAGCAATAAGTATTTGTACTTCACACGGGTTAGGGTAAAGAGTCTATTAAGTTACGCGGCACGGCCTTTGGCATCGAAGTCTCATCTCTAAGTCGCGAAGCTTAAATATTACGATTGCATTGAAAAACAACAAAACAAATTAATGTTTACAGCTGATTAATTTCTAATACTTTTCAAACTTTTCCATTTGTTTTTACTGTTGTTTTTATTACCGAGTCTGTCTTTACACACACACATATATATACACACGCATATATGCATGTACATATATATTTTTTGGGTGTGCGCTGCGCAAGCCTGCTTGTTGTGACCCGCCTGACAATGGCCGCGCGCGGACTAACAAGTATTACACTTCAGCACTAATAATGCAATCAAACCGTTAATAATAAATCATTTTTCAAAGTTTTAATTCTTTTTTATTTTGATGATCTCTTCTCTCCTTGTTTACTTGTTGAAAGAAGTTCAGTGCTGTATAGGACTATTTTTTTCAACGACGGCGAGCTGTACAATCGAAACGATAACGATTAACTTAACGAAAGTTTCACAGTTTCGACAGCCCTGGTGCAAAAGTAAATAAACAAAGTGAAAAGTTCGCAAATAAAACAGCGAAATATTTGTTTAAAAAACAGCGCGAAAAATGTGAAAATTTGTCATTAAATACTTTAAGTAACTTGCAAGGCGCTGTGCAACATAAACGTGTTGAAAGTAACGCGCAAAGTCTTTATATGCCAAGGCTATGAAACATAATGATGACTCGGATGAGGGTGAGTAAAAGTCAATAAACTTGCATTGTCACAGGGTGACTTTGATGCAATAAATATGGAATAGGCGCGCAAAGATTACAAGTTTAAATATCTACATATTGAAATGAATTTTTCTGACTTAAAAGTATGCCAGATTAGGTGATTGCTGTCTCATTCGAGTACTGCAGTCGTATAGATACTTGATCTGAACATGTATGTAAATATATATACAATACATATATATGTTTGTTTACATTCTGAAATGTAAACAAATAGATACGCCCACCTGTCCATAATACACCTAACCATGACCCATACCCAATGTGCAACAGTTGTTTGTGGGATTTGTGTGTCTTGCGCACTGTGTGCGACGACTGCAATGAATGAAGTGTTGGCTGAACCGGACGCTAGACGACTTGTCGCGACGTTGCCGACAAATGAATCGATTTTCCAAAACGACTGTTAACCCAATCTTTGACTCAGTTACATTTTGAACTGCTCCTCGCGCGGTTGTTTGATGGGTTAAAAATAAAGATTATTATTTTGTTATTTCTTTTTGATAAGCTGGGGGCAGGTTATATAAGAATGTCTTGGAAGTTTGTCGAAGGCCCTAAGCCTGGCACCGAAACAGCTTTGGATGCGTGCGACTATTTTGTCGATGAGGTCATTGAGAATTCAGGTGGAATGGGTGCGACATATACCAAGCAATGACATCGACCATATGGAATCTTAATAATTCAATCTGCCCTCTTGTCTTACAGATGCGCGCGAGGAGGTGCGTCAGATAAAGCATGGCGAGTTGCGTGCGGCGGTCACCGCTGGAGATGAACGCACAGTGCGCGTCCTACTCGAGGCCCTGGGGAGAGAGCGACAAATAATTGTGAATGTGGCACCAGCCGGTGCCAACACTCTGCTCTTTATGTAAGTTAAAATTGCAAGTAAATATGAAGGAAAGTGTGCATTACATGAGTTATATAAGGGTCCAAAAACCATCGTAGAATAATCTTAACATTTTGTGTTGTTCACTAATTATTTCATTTACTACTTGCAGCGCCAGTCAATCAGGCTTTGAGAGCATCACGCAGCGTTTGATTGATGCTGGTGCGGATGGACGGTCCCATGCGGTGACCAAGTATTCGCCTCTTTATGCAGCGGTGCACAACGGTCATTATGGCATTGCAAAGCTCATGCTGGAACGCTTTCCAGAGCTGATACAAGAGGCGACTGTGGAGCGCTGGCTACCTTTGCATGCGGCTTGCATCAATGGGCATATCAATATGTTGGAGTTGATAATTAACTTTCCATATCCCGACTACCTCTATCAAACATATCGTGACGAAGAGGGCCAATGGGAGTGGCGCCTGCCTTTCGATGCTAACGCTCAAGATGTGACTGGGCAAACCAGTCTCTATATAGCCAGCTTACTGGGCAACAAGCAACTGCTAAGCGTGCTGCTCAGGTGGCAACTGCGTTGCCGGCGTACCTTGAGCGACGATCCGGGTAGCTCGGCGGCGGGTCAGAGTACGCCTATAACGCCGACGCGCAAGCGTATTTCTTTTGGAATACAGGCTATCATGTCGAAGCTACATATATCTGGCGAGGGGGACACGATCGAGGCGCAACCGACGCAGGATCAGGAGTCGCAGCGTTGTCCCCTCCATATCAATTTGCTGTGTGGTGCGGCACGTGAAACAGCGCTCTTAGCTGCAGTTCGCGGAGGGCACTTAGATGTGGCGCAAGCGTTGCTGCAACATGGTGCCAATCCAAATATTGTGGCGAAGCCTGTAGAGGATCACAACGATCCAAAGTGCAGCGAAGAGATCTATGGCTTAAGCAATATGCCCATTACCGAGGCATGTAAGCAGCGCTCTCTGGCCATGCTGGATCTGCTTCTAAAGTTTGGTGCACGCGATGATAATGGCACGGCTATAAGTGTGGCCATTGCCAGCGAGGATGAGGCACTGCTGAGTCGCTTGTTGGCTCGTCGCGTGCATCCTGACTCGGACTATAAGATTAATAAAAAGGGACTGCCCACGCCAGTTGAAGTAAATGTATTTCAGCCCTCCGCCAGCAATATTTCATATAGCGCCATGTTCCCTAACGTTCCGACGATCATAGACTGGCATAGCCTGAACATGAATGTGCAACTGCCCTTTGTGCGAATTGGTTGGCTGGTAAGTGGGGTGCTTCAACTGAATCCCAAACTTAGTTCGCATCCCAGGCTCGATGATGTGGCGCTTACAGCAATCACTCGAATTGATTTCTCGCACAACATCTTAACCAGTATTCCGCCGGAGCTCTTTAATCTAGTTAGTCTTAAGTGAGTGTTTAATTTAAATCTGCTAAAAAAATTTACCCAATCCTCCCTGTCTTTAGGTATCTGAACATTGCGCAGAACAAGATCACGGAGTTGCCGGCACCTCTAGGAAAGTCGTACAACTGCCCTGTGTTGGATGAGCTCTTTCTGCAGGATAATCAACTTACATGCTTGCCGGCCGCAATATTTCAGCTCCCCGCTTTGACCATTTTGGATATTTCCAACAATAAGTTGCAGCAACTGCCCTTCGACTTGTGGCGTGCGCCCAAACTGCGTGAGCTAAACGTAGCCTTCAATTTACTTCGTGAGCTACCCGTGCCGCCCATGCAGACGAGTGGATCTCTGCTGAGCTTAGATAAGCTACAGCTGCTGCAATCGTGTGATGAGTCGTCCTCCAGTAAGCCGCATACGTTGCTGCTGCAGACAGTCACGCATCGTAATCTCTGGTCGACTGCGCTAGACATTACAGACAACGACTTGAAGTGGCAGCAGGAACAGGAGCAAGAGCAAGAGCAAGCACAAGCTTTTGCTGATGGAAAAGCTCCTCATGGTACTTCCCAGTTGAGCAGTCTAAACATTGCTAACAATTTGTTTACCAGCATTCCCGCTGCGTTGCCTTGTTTGGCAGTTAATCTGACACGGCTGAACATGTCCTATAACAGCCTTCGGTCCATGGGTCATGTGACTAGCTATCCCGCCACATTGAAACAGCTCGATTTGAGTCACAATGAAATCTCGTGCTGGCCTAGCTTGCCACGCATTACGGAATCCGATCCGAATCTGTTATGCTACAGTCATGTCCAGCTGCCAGAGGGCTTCGATGAACCCATCTATAAGGCATCTAAAGGCAGCAGCTGTTCCTTTCGTGCTTCTGTACTAAAAAGCGTCTGCAGGCACAGACGTCATTTACGTTTAGAGGCCTTGCGAACTCTTATTTTGGCCGATAATCTACTGACGCGCATCCAACTATCCACAGATGATGCCACAACGTTGTTCAATGAAAGCGAGGACGCCGATTGGAGTGTGGTCGGTGTCAATAAGTCAAAAGTTATATTTCCCAACCTATCCATGTTGGACATGACCAATAACTGCCTGAAAGAAATACCTGCATCTCTACATGAGCTGAGTAGTCTTTCCGTCTTAAATATAAGTGGAAATGTCCAGATTACCGACTTGCCCCCACATCTGGGCTTACTCTCCCGACTGTGGAATTTGAATACACGCGGCTGCCTGCTTCAGGAGCCGCTACGTTCCATGATTGAAAGCAAAAAACACAAGACGATGGATATTGTTGGGTATTTGAAATCCATCTATGAGGATGCTCAGCCGTATGCACGTATGAAGCTCATGGTGGTGGGATCCTGTGGCATTGGAAAAACAACGCTTCTAGACCTGCTGCGCCAGGGCATGGGTAATAGCTCTAGTGGCTCAAGCGCACATCGTTCGCGCGCCAACGAGAATCATTGGGCCAAACGTATGGGTCATTCGCGTAGCACCTCGCGATCTCAGCGCCCAGCAAACATCTCCACGGTGGGCGTGGATATTGGCACATGGATATGTGAGAAGCGAAAGCGCGCAACTGGCTGTCAAGCGATTGTCTTTCGCACTTGGGATTTTGGTGGTCAGAAGGAATACTATGCGACGCATCAATACTTCTTGTCCAAACGTAGTCTGTACTTGGTGCTTTGGCGCATCAGCGATGGACACAAGGGCTTAGCAGAGCTGCTTCAATGGCTGGGGAATATTCAGGCTCGTGCTCCAAACTCACCAGTGCTCATCGTGGGCACGCATTTTGATACGGTAGGGGAATCGATTTCTGCACAGCAGGCCGAGCAACTGCAGCAATTGATCCGTGAGAAGTTTATAGCTATACCAGATGCGGAAAAGATTGGGCTGCCACGCGTTATTGACTCCATTGAAATTAGCTGTCGGTTAGTCTAATTGAAACCAAAAAAAAACATAAACAGTATTATATAAAATGTCTATTCTATAGCACTCTACACAACATCCACTTGCTGGCAAACATCATCTATGACACCGCCATGCAATTGCGGTCGCCAGGCTCCAAGGAACCGATGTTGCTGCAGAAGATACCCGCCAGCTATATTGCTTTAGAGGATATTGTCAGTGTGATTGCTTGTAGTCTACGTGCTGTTGGTCGAGATCCCGTACTGGATGCAGAGCAGTACCGATGTCTGGTCACAGAGAAAATGCGTCTGCATAACTACAAGAGTTTTCGTGATGCTGCTGAGTTACAGCAGGCGACAACATGGTGCCATGACAATGGCATTCTTTTGCATTATGATGATGCGACACTCAGAGATTACTATTTCCTCGATCCACAATGGCTCTGCGATATGCTGGCCCACGTGGTTACCGTGCGCGAGATAAATCCATTTGCGCCAACAGGCGTCATGAAGCTGGACGATCTACAACTCGTCTTTCGCAGTGTGCACGCGCAGAGCAATGGTAATCGAAGGTTAGTAGGTTCGACTAGTTATATATTTGTACACTTGAACCTTAAATATTCATATTCTGCTTCCCAGCTATATAGTCAGTTTACTGAATAAGTTTGAGGTGGCTCTTACTTGGGATTCGCGAACGCTGTTGATTCCGTCATTGCTGCCGGTACAGGAGTCAGCTGTGTATAACGAAGGTACAACGATTAAATTGCTTCAGCGTGTGCGTGGTCGAAATGTTGGTTGTTCCGTCTCGCAGGAGCTGAATCTCAATAAACTCATCTATGAGCAGCACTCGTCGCATACCCCGACTACTTCTGCCTCCACGGCTAGTCAGGGCTTGCGTCGTATGTTGCTCATGACTTACTTTCCTTCTGGCTTTTGGTCACGTTTAATTACTCGCGTTTTGGCCGACGAGCAAATTATTGAAGCCATTCGAAGTGTCTATGTTGCCTCACAGGATGTAAGTTAGATCAATTACGTTTAACTTAATGCATTCTAATTACTGCTTTATAATTAGAAATATCTGGACTTTGATTTGCGTGGGTCGCTGGAGCAGGATACACAGTGGAATTTATGGCAAACGGGTCTAGCTTTATATTATGGACCGATTCTAATCTTTCGTATTTGGGAGGTACCCTTCCAAAACAACGACCGAACGCATCCTTTTCGCACGACTAGCAATCGCTTTAAGCTCAAGTTGGATGGTATCTGGAGCGATGTGAATCTAAGTTCCTCAAGCATTTTGGAAGTTTTTTTTCCACTGCTTAACGTGAGCATTTCCCAAGAACTTGAAGCAGGCGAGCGACAACTACTAGCAGAGCTGCAGCCGCACATGTCGCAAGTGGCCAAGCTGCTGGCCTTGGTTGTGGATCATATTGATCTGCTGTTAGAGGATTGGTACCCAGCGCTAGGTACGCGCTTTGTACATACTTCTGAGGGACGTTTTTTGATAACTCGACTTGTGCTCTGCCCACGTTGTTTGCGCAAGCTGCAGCTGCAGAATGGTACAGAACCTGTAGAACGGGAGCCCAGTATGCCAAATGGCAGCAGACCTAGTCGTAGCGGCAAACGGGGCACATACTTTCTGCATGGCGTCGGCGATACTAATGACGATGGAGCCCTGAATGTGTTCTCTGCTTATCTTAATGCAACTGCAAGTCGGGAGAGACGTTCGGCTGACTCACTGGGAGCTGGTTCGGATGCGGACTCGGGTGTAGGACCAGACTCGGCTTTCTCTTCACGTAACACCTCTATAGACGGGCATCCTGCCTATGCTTCGCATCATCTGCCAGATAACTCGAATGTCTGCTATGCCTGGATGGTTGAGGAGTGCATTTTATCAGTTTATAATCAAATCAAACTTAGCTGCCCGGTTCATCTGGAACAGTCAATGGCACAACTGGCGCCGGATGTCATATTTGCAGATATACCCGACAAGCACACAATTGCCACGGAGTGCATCATTAAGGGTTCGCTGCTGGGGCGTGGTGCCTTTGGCTTTGTGTTTAAGGCCAGCTGCAAGCTACGTGGCGCTCGGGTTTTCCGATCGGTAGCCATGAAAATGCTTCAGCCAGTGCAGCCCGGTGCGCGAGCCAAGGAGGTGAGTTTAGACTAAAATTTAATGAATAAATGAAATTATATCTCCTCCATTTTGCATAGAGTGCATTGATGGCGTACAAAGTCGCACTGGGCAAATGGGATCGAGATCCGCTGCAGCACTCCTGCAAGGCCTACTGCACAGCCAGGCAGGAGTTGGCCGTGCTACTTACTTTGAAGCATCCGAATATTGTGCCGCTGGTTGGAATTTGCATTAAACCCTTGGCTTTAGTACTGGAGCTAGCGCCATTAGGTGGCCTTGATGCTCTGCTGCGCCAATATAGACGAAGTGGCGCACACATGGGTCCACATACGTTCCAAATGTTAGTGCTGCAGGCTGCACGCGCCATCGAGTATTTGCATCGCAGGCGGATCATATATCGGGATCTCAAATCTGAAAATGTGCTCGTCTGGGAGCTGCCACAACCTCACAGCGAAGATAGTCCCCGCAACCAGGTGCACATCAAGATTGCGGATTACGGAATAAGTCGTCAGACAGCAGCTGGTCTTAGTGCCAAAGGCTTTGGCGGCACGGAGGGATTTATGGCCCCTGAGATTATTCGATTTAACGGCGAGGAGGAATATACCGAAAAGGTAATTAACAATAAATAAATGATATAAATCGCTGTTTGCATTTTATTATTCTCTTCAGGTGGACTGCTTTTCCTTTGGAATGTTCATCTATGAGAACATTAGCCTTCGTCAGCCTTTTGAGGGCCATGAGTCCATTAAGGAATGCATACTGGAGGGCAGTCGACCGGCTCTGACACAACGTGAGACACAGTTTCCCACTTGTTGCCTAGATCTAATGGTACTTTGCTGGCACGAACAGCCGCGACGACGGCCATCAGCTAGTCAGATAGTCTCAATACTTAGGTAACGTTTGAAAGGAATTCCGATTATATCACAGGCTTACAATCAAATTTACGTTTTAGTGCGCCAGAATGCATTCATTTGCTAGACGTGGTAGCTTTGCCGCACAGCGATAAAATTGTTTGCGGCGTATTTCAATTAGTGTTGGCTGGTATTGAGGAAGAGCGCTCCGGCCTCGAGCTGTGGCTGCCAGCTTTTGGTTCACACATTGATATACTAGACGTTTCGCCAACTGGCTGTCTGTTGCAGTGCAGCAGCATATGCTGTGCTCCACAACCACAAATGGGGACGCCCAAAACGCCCGAGAATACCGCAACCACACGTGCACGCTCCGCACAGCGTATGCCAAAAGTGAATATGCTGTGCTGCTGCCTGGTGGGTGAAGCTATCTGGATGGGCGATGTTTCGGGCAATTTGCATGCCTATAGCACATCGAGCTATGGACATTTATTCTCCTACATGCTTGATCCTGCCATCAAGTCAGCTGTGATAAGTTTAGTGTATATGGAGGGTATTGCGCGCGTTGCAGTGGGCTTGCAAAATGGTCGCGTCTTCCTGGTGGATTCCTGCCTTATGCCCACTAATTGTGCCTTTGCCGAGGGCTCATTTGTACTGACTGAGATTTGTTCCGGATTTGTGTTGCACGCCGCCTGTTCTGTGCTCATTGAAGGGTAAGTTCTTTATAAATCTTTGAGCAAGTTCACTAATCTCATAACTCTCTCTATAGCGTTTATGAGCTCTGGTGCGGTGAGTTGGCTGGCAAAATCAACGTATTTCCAGTCAACGAATCTGGTGTGTGTGGTCATCAGGCCTTGTGTCACAGCGATGAGCCAAATCTCATTGAGGACGTTAAAGTGACGCGCCTTTGCAGCAATGATAGCCACGTCTTTAGCTGTTTGTATCCTGGTTGCATGGTGTATCAGTGGAGTACCGTCTCAAAGCGTATTGAAAATAAATTGGACTGCTCTAAACTACTGCCCTGCTCCGAATCTCTACAGAGCATTGCCATTGATGAACACGTAAATCTTATCAAATGTCAAATCTCAGCGCTGGCGGCACACAACACTGAGCTGTATATAGGCACCACGTGGGGTTGTCTCATTGTGGCCGAGTTGCATACGTTGCGTCCCATTAGCGTATTTCGTCCGTATGAGAATGAGGTAAAGATTTGCGTTAATGTTCTGTAGTTATTATAGTTAATTACATATTCATTGCAGATCAAAGCTATCATAACCATGCCGAATGCCGGCGTGCCACTAATAGCTACGCTCGGACGGCGCTATCGTTCGCTGATCTCTCGTTATGTGGACATGGGCGAGTCCACGTCTAATAATTCTAGTTCAGTTGCAAGCACGCCAACGCATGGTGGTGCCAAACCCATGCCGTCAGCAGATGTGGATAACCACATACATTGCCTGCTGTGGCGAGCCAAGAACTGGACCTAATTCCGATCTCAACTATGTACTACGTATAATATTTATTAACCCACTAAAACTAAGGCCAAATAATTGGCCCAATATTCGAAATAGTACTTTGCTAAGCATTTTGCTGGCGTAGGTACCATTCATTGGACGATTCGGTCTATTTCATATAATATTTTGGTGCATATGTGAAACAAGTACGTTTATTGCACGGAAACCCTATTAACAGTTAAGCTATATGACAATTGAACTTGAAAAAGTATTTTTCAAAATATTTCAAAGCATTCCATTTCAATTACAAAACTTTTTAATAAAGCTGATGATTACCAATTTAATGGTACGCTATATATGATTACTGTCCTATAGAACCCACCGACACAGAAGACTGCCGACTGCGTGAGTAAATCGAATCCGAGTTCTTGAGCACGCGTACATAGTTATTAAAGTCAATTAAAAACTGAAACTCTTCCAAGAAGGCCTCCTTTAACGGAACCTGAAAAACGAAGAATTTTAACTTAATTCATGGCTTGAAATATTTCATGTTAACCTTAAAGTGCCGCGCCTTTTTGATGATAAACAACATCCAGCTAACCACTCCATAGAGCAATGCACAACATGAACCCACAAGTAGCACGAAGAAAACGCCCTCCAAATTATCCATAGCAAGCGCTGTAGCCTCTGGTGCATCCTCCTTGGTGGCGCAAATACCGGAGCCAACTTCATTCCACCATTTGTTTTTCATCTTCTCCAGCACGCCCTGCTCCTGCAGCTGTAGCAGTGCATTATTCAGCTTACCACGATGGGGCCAATCTACAGTTCGTTAGTTGAAATGCTTAGGGTATTTATTTATATATATCTATAAATTATGTTACTTTTCCGCATAGCGATTCCATAACCTTTCTCATCGAGAGCATCCCCAATTTTCTTCAGATTACATTCGCGTTTCGTGTTGTACTCAATGGATGTTGATTCCATGAGAAATGCGTATTGAGTGCTAATCTTAACGCGATCTACACCCTCCTGATTAGTCTCTGTCAGATACTCGGGATGTTCAGTCATAAATTTGTTCATTTTTATATATCGTTCATCCTCAGAGTTCTGTGATATGTTTAGTTAAGTAATTCCTCTGAATTAAGAAATTGTATGGCTTACCAAAAAGAAATTCCTGGTTGATCCTGTTCGCTTGGCTCCATAGACAACACCGTCTTTATTGTCCGCCAAATCATCCACGCTGTTGATTAAGCTTTGTGGTTTCTCAATCGTCAAGAACGCAGCTAAATTGGCTGTATAGGAGGACACAACAATCAACGTGAAGAACCACCAAAAACTTGCTACAGTTCGTGTTGACAACGCTCTGTTGGAGAATAACACATTATGAAATGTTCTTTATATATTTATCATGCAAACTCACTTGGGCCCTATTTCTGAACCTTGCTGTAGTAGAGCACCAGTCGTAAACCAAATTGAGTTGCCTATTGTAAACTGATTCTCGAGCTCTTCTGGCTCTTCTATGCAAGGATATGGATTGTCCCATTCACTGGGTGACAGACGGCCAAGTATGAAAAAGCTTAATGAAACACCCAAAAAGGATAATCCAAGAAACCACCAAACCTCCTCTGAGAACGGATCCATGAAGGTGAAAAGTTCTGGCTGGGCTTTCTGAGGCTTTAAAAAAAGTATAGCGATGCCTAAAATTCAAATGTGTGTAAATATGAGTAGATAACTAAAACAATTATATCACTTACCGAGATTCATAAACGGTATACTAAATTCGATGGCTTCCTGACGCTCTGATGTTATGGTCAGATCCGTAATTGCCAAGTCCGCATGCTATGATGAAATGTTAGCTTAGATTTTAGTATTTCATTTGATATAGGGATACCTTACGCCATGCATTATCTCTCGTAACATGCCCGTAGATTCATTGGAAGTTTTATTGTATGAACCATAATCATTGCCTCCATTCTTAAAAGTGAAGTTAAAGCCCAACTTATCAGCCAGTTCCATGATCAGGTCTACGCCATATCCTTCATATTGACTATTGCCTTCGAGCTGTTTATAGCTCTCCACCAAACTGGCGTAGGGCTTGTTCTGTTTGAAATTAGGATTAAAGCTAAAGCTATATGTTTTATTTGTTCTCTTACCGGCACCGAAAGCAATATGATAAACGTTTTGTTTGCTAGAGAATTGTCAATATTATCGAATTGAGAGTTGGTTGGCGCCAAGCGCTCTGGCCTGTAATCGCGCTCCTCACTCCAAGTGCCCACTTTCACTATTCCGGACGGCTGCAGCTCAATTACGTCCAAATGATAGCCCTTGCGCACGTTGCCCTCAAAATAAATAGGTCCGGTGAGCAGTCGCTCCTTGAGACGCAACTATTGGATAGCTGAGTACTTAGCATAAGTCAAATACTTAATTTGATAACATTATTGTACCGTTCTCATATAGTTTTTGAAGGAGGAACCATCGTCTCGGACACTTTCTGTGCGCTGTGAACAGTTCTGGGAAACCGGCTTAAAGGGCAGATTCTTTAGAGTTTCAGCAAACAATTGTACTGCATCGTAAGTGAGAGCCATTTCCACGGTAATGGGACAGGAACCTATGAGAAAGTAAGATTATATTCTGTACAAGAATAATGCGGTACTTGTTTACCATTTCGAAAATCATCCTGTTCGTTCTTATAGCCCATTTTCTGCATAAGTTCTTTCACAGCCATTTTTTCTGGGGAAAACAGTCGAAAACTTGTTATGTTGGCTTCACTGTATTTGTACTCCTCCAAATCGAATGCCTGAAAGTCTAAATTGCCAATGATGTAACTGTAGTCCTCATTGATGATACCAACTTGTTGTGCCTGGAATGCAAATTAGCATAGATTTATTCATTAAATCGTTTCATATACGATTTGTAGATCCCACTTGATTCAGAAACTCTGGCACTGTATCTGTGGAGCCCACGACTACAATCCGATTGTCTTTAGACTTGCGTACGCGCCTTAACACCGGCTTATAGTTTCCATTCAGCTGCATATCGTAGCGTAGTACCGTGACAATTGGTCCATTCATGCCGAAGAGGGAGTTCAGCTCATTTAGAATACTCAGATACTCCGCTATAAAGGAAAATATAATATAATATATAACATGTCAAAAAGAAAATTAAATAGTTGGCTTACCCGATTCATAAAGAAAAATAAAGCGCGACCACTCGAAGGCAGTTATAAGGCTGTAGAGAGCTTTCGATAAGTCAGCAGGATGTGGATGCAAATTAAAGCCTTCGGAATATTCGCTCATATATGAGTATATATGGGGTATATCCATGGCATCACAAATGGACATCAGGTGCACAGCAGTATGGCGGGACGAAGGTCCGAAAACACCTGCTATACCCGTCTGCAGTCAGCTTTTGAATTAAATTGGTCATATTTATATATGCTCCAAGAAAACTCACCTCCAGCATGCGACACAGCTTGCCGTAGCTGTGGTATGCATCGCCGTAGTTCACCTCCGCTTTTAGGGATGTCATGGCTAGACCCAGCTCTTCGTTGGCCACTTCGATCGCATGATCAAATACAATATTCATTTGTTCTGTATTTTGATCAGTAAGTAGACCTGACAATTGGAAAACAGGATAGCTTAGTAATAGTATTCATAAATGTCTGCGTATCTTCTAGTCGTGCAGAGTCGACTCGACTAGTAAACGCTAATATGCCTAAAGTCTTCACATAATTTGCCGGTTTGTTTATAAACAAAAACTTGAACTTAACGCTGTCTATATTCAGATATTCAGAGTACATTTAGGCACTGCCACGATCGGTTGCAAATCCAAACAAACAAATACTTAAAAGCATTTTATGAGCTTTCAGCGTTGATGGAACGAACAGCATGTTCTCTTTACGAGACATTAAAAATAAATCAGGCGTTCGGCGACCGCAATGCTCATTGCTAGAAAAACTTACCAATTGGTATGCTGGCCGAATTTTGGAGGCTATCATATCCGCCATAATGATCGTACTGAGCATTGAGAATCGAAATTCTTGATATTATTATTGAAAAATATATAAATATATTAATTATGAACATTTTGTTGCATAAAATAACTAAGCTTTTTCCTCCATATACATAATATAATATTAGACTGAAAATAATGCTGCGCCTAAGATTTTGTGTTCTATACGCTTTGAGCGAAAGTTGACAACTGCCAGAGAATTTCCAAAATGTGCATTTGGAAAATGTTTTGAGTAAAAGTTCCCAAAAGCTTTGAGTTAAAAAAAGTTTATTGAAAAATTTTGATGACCATACCAAGAGCATCAACTTGCAGAATAAATAAATATTTATTTTTAATTGAAGTTTTAATTAAATATTAGTCTCCTTCGGGTATGGTATTCTCCGAATCAGTTTGTAGTGATTCTATGGATTGGGAAGAATTGCGGCTGCGTGAATACACCGACTGGGCGCTCTTCAGAGCTCGTTCATTTTCCGCAAAGCTGACAACAATTTTAAACTCCTCAGCAAGGGCATCGCAGAAGGGCACCTGGAAATAATAATTAGAGATTATTTCCTAAAAAGCACCTGACTTACCTCATAGAACTTGGCTTTCTTGAAGACAAATAAGCACCAGTAGAAAAAGGAGATGACAAAAGAAAGCAACGACCCAACGATTAGTACTGCGTAAATACCACTCAAATTTTTCATGCCCAAGGCAGAAGAACCATCGTCGTCGCCCTTATCCTGTTACAAATGATAGTACGTTATAACCAAAAAATTCTTATTTTTAACATTTTTATATGCTTATCTATAAAATGATTCTTTTATATTTTTATTTTATTTGAAAACTTACGCTACAAACACCGGCACCTATTTCGTTCCACCATTTGTTCTTTAGCCTGGCCAGCACTCCCTGCTCCTGGAGCTCGAGCAAAGCATTGTTAAATTTATCGCGATATGGCCAATCTATGAACGAGTTTCTCAGTCGACTTAGTTAAGGGTTTATCCGAATCTGTACTTACTTTTAGGCATTGCAATGCCGTAACCCTTTTCATCCAATGCTTCGCCGATTTTTTTAAGTGTACACTCTCTCACCGTGTTATACTCAATGGAAGTTGATTCCATGAGAAAAGCATATTTTGTGCCTGCCTTGACTTTATCGACGCCCGCTTGATTTGTTTCAGTAAGCATCTCTGGATTATTGGTCATGTAGGCATTCATTTTCATGTAGATTGGGTCTTCGGATGTCTGAATTAAGACAAATAAACGTGAATTACATTTAGGATCTATCTTTTGTTACTTACCAAGAAAAAGTTTCTCGTTGAGCCGGTGCGCTTGGCTCCATATTGAACGTCGTCTTTGTTCTCTGCCAAATCCTCAACGCTGTTAATTGAACTCGATGGGTTTTCTATGGTCAGAAATGCAGCCAAGTTCGCTGTGTATGAGGACACCATAATCAGTGTGAAAAACCACCAAATAGCGGATATTGTGCGTGTGCTAAGGGCTCTGTGAAATGGAATAGTTATTAATAAATGTGATTTTCTGGTTTTTATATAAATACTTTGGCGCAATTTCGGAACCCTGCTGGAGCAAAGCACCTGTGGTGAACCACAGTGAATTATTTATGGTGAATTGATTCTCCAGTTCTTCCGGTTCTTCAATACAGGGATATGGATTATCCCATTCGGAAGGTGAGAGACGGCCAAGAACAAAAAGACATAGTGAGACGCCCAAGTAGGCAATGCCCAGGTACAGCCAAACCTCCTTTGAAAATGGGTCCATGAAAGAAAAGATCTCTGGCTCAGCCTTTTGAGGCTTTATATATAAAATGGCAATACCTTAGCCGCCAAATATATATTACTTGAAATATTTGAAAACATTATGTTTATGTAGGTCTTACCAAGATTCATAAATGGTATGGAAAAATCAATGGCTTCCTCTCTTTCTGAAGTGATAGTCAAGTCCGTGATGGCCAAGTCTGCATGCTGTTGACGAATTGAGTATCATTTTAAATGTCGGTATGATATAGTAACTACAACTTACGCCCTCAACAATTTCTTTAAGCATTCCTGTTGTCATATTTGTGCTTTTATTGAAGGAGCCGTAATCATTGCCACCATTGTGAAAGGTGAAGTTAAAGCCAAGTTTCTCGGCCAGCTCTTTAATCAGATCTACGCCATAACCCTCAAACTGATTATTGCCAATCAAAGTATTAATACTTTCTACCAGACTAGCATATGGTTTGTTCTATATTTAAAAAGATGCTTAATAGGCAGGCCACTATATTTTTATACAGTCTCACTTACCGGAACAGATATAAGTACCTTAAAGGTTTTATTAACCAAGGTATTTTCCTCGTTTTCATTTAGATTTGTTATTGGTGGTGGCCGCTTAAATTCAAACTCTTTGCCTTCCTCCCAGGTACCCACCTTCACCAAACCCACGGGCTGCAGCTCAATCACATCGAAACTAAATCCTTTACGCATATTGCCTTGAAAAAAAATTCGTCCTGTAATTGTTTTCTCTAAAATTTCCAACTATAAAATATTAAAGAGCAATATATTAGTAATTGGGAAAATTATTAAAAAAGCTATTTTACCGATCGCATATAATTTCTGAAAGTGGAGCCATCTGGCTGAACATTATCATGACGCTCGGAGCAATTTAGCTGTTGCGGCTGGTAGGGCAAGAAGTTGGTTGTTTCGGCAATGACACGCACTGCATCGTAGGTTAGAGCCATGGCCAACGTTATAGACGTTGAACCTAAAATTTAAATATAGATTTAAATTAGAAAGGGATCGGGAATCGATAAAGTGCTCATACCATTATTCATGGGCTCACTTTCGCCTAGCTCGTGTTGTAGCGTTTCGACTAAGTCACGCACTTCCTTTCTATCTGGGTCAAACATACGTATGCCGGTTATATTTGCCTCACTGTATTTGTACTCCTCCAGCTCGTAGGTGTGCAGATCCAAATTTCCCACTAAATATGTGTAGTCCTCATTCATTATGCCCACCTGCTGCGCCTGACGCAGCAGTTCGGCCACGCCCTCCGTCGAACCCACGACTACGATGCGACTGTCCTCAGATTTGCGAACGCGCCGCAGAACAGCCTTATAGTTGCCATTGAGATTGAGATCGTAGCGCATGACTTTGATAACTGGTCCTTTGATACCATACAATGTCATTAGGTGATCCAGTATAGTAAGGTATTCCGCTGCATTAGTAAATTGTTAGATCTATTTCGATAATAAATACTTTTGCCATACAGGATTCGTAGCAGAAAATAAATCGTGACCATTCGAACTGTGTGATGATGTCGTAGAGGGCATGAGCAATATCTTCCGGATGCGGATGCAAGTTAAAGCCATCTGTTTGTAGACTCCACGAAAGATGAGGATATATGAAAGGTATGTCTTTGGCATCGCAAGCATTCAGTAAATGGGATGCAGTATGCTTGGCTGCTGGTCCAAATACTGCACCGACCCCACTCTATAGCATAAGAATGAGCTTAATTAACATTCAAGAATTTCTGTTTACGCGCTCCTCACCTGCATTAGTCTGCATAGTTGCTCAAACGCATGTACGGAATTCCCATACGCCACTTGCTCTGTTTCACCCACTAGGGGGACGCTCAGGTCGCTATTAGCCACGGCTATGGCATGCTCAAAAGTTTGACGGATTCTATCCGTGGTGTCATCTGTGATTAGACCTGCGCTCCATTGTTTGAGTCAAAGAGCGGTGAGTTGTGAGAGTGTTCCGAGTGGAATGTCTGATCAGTTCTCTGTTAACTTACCGATGCGTATGGCCTGTCTATTGGAAGCTGCATAGGAATTGCTCCCATAGCCATGAGCCGCATGTGTCCACAGTAGTATTACAACAACCAGCCCAAAATGCATTTAATCTATTTCTAGTTGTTAAATTTTAATATATATTTTGTTTACTAGGTGCTCATGTGCTTTAGCCGCTTTGGTATATTTTGTGTCTATTTTTGATTCTTTTATTTTGTTGTCTATATATATTTTTGGATCATGCACGCGAACGTGAATTGTTCGGCGTTCCGGTCCCTCCAAAGACACTGTTACGACTGAAGAGAAATGTTTTAGAAAATATACTCAAAAGTTTTCCAAAATATTTGTTTTGTATAAAGCTTGAAAGCTGCAAAGTTTTGGAACTGTTCCCAGTGTTGCGTAGTCTCCCAGTTCAAGTATATATATCGGAATGGAGAGAAAATAAATTTCTTGATTCGTTTGTGCACATTTCGCTATCGTTAATATTTTATTAGAATTATCACAAACATAAATAGTTTTAACTAAATTATTGCAAATTAACAATATAAATAGTTATATACTATGAAATATATATAAAATAAAATAATAAAGTATATCATACTATTTTTGGCACACTTTGGTTTTAATATCTTTGTATAAACACAGTTGCTAATATATCCTGGTAGTTTATTTTTAATGGCAAGTCAGGCATGGGACAGGTCCTAAAATCAGCGCAATCTGAAAAAGTAAATCATTATTAAATAACAATGTTTAAATATATATTAAATAAATATGAATATTAATATAAATATTTGTAAATGTCTGTGGATATGTTGGAATTTCAAAGTCCTGTTACTCTAGTACAACTAAATAACTAAATTAAAATCCAATTAAATAATTATTAATAAAGCTTTCAAGTCGCTAACCTAAGCTTTTTTTCTTCGAAATTTGTTCTAAAATTTATGAGTTGGCGAGCTAATTGGAAAGACAATTGAAGAAGTTCACCACCACAAGAAGGAGAGCAACAACCGCATAGGGAGCCCATTAAAAGCATTCCAACTAGTGGGCATAAATCACCATTAATTAAGGGAATGTAAATTGTGGCGCAACGGGCTCAACTGAAGTGCGACGTTGTTGTTGACAGCAGCACAACAAGCCTATCTTCAATGGGATAAATGACAGCTAAGAGGAAGCTGGCGAACAACAACATGTACTACTCCCAATCAAGGGGCTCCGAATGTGGAGCGACTCTGAAAATTGTGCGTCAGCATTGGAATGCTGGCGATGAGTGCTTTCATTTACTGAGTAATACTTACAATTAGCGTTAGATCCAACTGTCGTGCGCTGGTTAATTTTAGGAGTGGATCGCCTGTAATACTTTCAAGCAGTAGGTAACAATGGGCCGCGACTACCAGACACTGCACTTCTTCTGGGGATTCATGGGCGTGTCTGCCGGGCAGTTGAATTCGCGTGCAAAATCGTAAGAGTTGGAGAGGGTGCCGATGACACGATAACGTCCAGGACTATGTATGGCTGTATTTAGCTTGTTGCGTATAGCCTCCGGCCGCATGGCCCCGCACCACACCTGACCGAAATTTAAAAAGAATAGCTGTGGTCCGGTCATATTTAGTCCCGGCAACATCTCATCCCTGGCTTCGTTGGGGTTTTCATTTAACCAACGCATGTAAGCGTGAAAAGCTTGCCGCAGTCCGCCATTGTCCGCAATATTCTCGCCTGGGGGCAGATGACTGATGAGCCATACAATTAATTGGATTACAGGATTTGCGGCTTACCTTGCGTGCTTTCGCCATTGAGAGATATGCCCACTTCTTCGACCGTATAATTGCCGTACTGTGAAATGATGCAGCGCGCGCGGTCGTCAAAACCGCGGATGGACGAGTCCGTCCACCATTTGTGTATGTTGCCATTGCTATCGAAGAGCCGACCCTTATCGTCAAAGCCATGGGTAAGCTCGTGCCCAATGACCACTCCGATGCCGCCAAAGTTCAAAGATTTGGGAAAATGACGATGATAGAAGGGTGGCTGTAGTATGCCAGCGGGAAACATGATCTGGTTCTTGTTGCGGCTGTAGTAGGCATTAACAATAGCCGGTGCCGTCTGCCAGTTGGTTTTGTTTACACGCTCGTGTAGCTTGGCCTGTTCCATCTTGGCCGTGTGCAGCAGCACATTGAGCGTATTCTCAAAGTATTTTTCTGGATGTATATCAATGCCAGCATACTTCTCGTTCAGCTCTTCGGTATTAAGTATGAAATCAGGATAGCCAATCTTTAGAGACATCGCATTTACCTTCTCCTCGGCCAGTAGCTTAGTCGTTTGATCTAACCAGTCTGTGGTCTTCAGTATATCCCGGAATGCTTGCTGCAGCTCATGGGTCATCCGCAATGTATCTCTCTTGCTATTGTCATCGAAATAACGACTCACAAACATAGAACCTACGGCCATGCCCATATTCGTGTTCACCTGTGCTATGCACACCTTCCAGCGTTGTGGGCTCTCTTCGCGCCCAAAGAGCGCATGATAGAAATTCTGCTTGATGTCATCGAAGCGATCATCAACATTGTTGATGCGATGTCGTACAAACCGCCACATCATATAGTTGGCCACTATGCGGGGCTCCGTAACGTCAAGCAGAGCCACCAGCTGCTTCATATAATCCACCGCATAGATTACCACCTGTTCCGTATCGTTGACATCGCGGCCCTGAAGGGTACTCAAATATGCAGTCCAGTCAATCTGGGGCACCGTCGCCTTCAGTTGCTGTAACGTCATCCGTTTGTAAAGCTATGGAGATAAATAGTTATAGTATCATTGGTACAGATCTAAGTAGAAATGAAGAATCAAGTTGATGTCTATATATTGTATCTACCTATTATAATTGTGGTAATTATTTGACCAACTTACTTTGGTTACATTGAGTCTTTGCTCGGCTGGTGCTGTTATCGCTGCCAACCTAGTCTCGAAGGCAATAAGTTCGGTGGCAGTGTGCGTTGCATCCGCTTTGCTGGCACCTAGCAAGTTCATCACCTCGGACATGTAACGCTGATAGGCCGTCAAATACTTGGCATTGCTCTGCTGTAGAAAGTATTCCCGCGTGGGCAGACCCAGCCCGGTTTGATCAAACTGTATGATATTTTCCTCAGAGTTCTTGATATCAGCGCCCACCCATTGGACGATAAGTATGTCGTTGTTGTAGCGACGCAGCGTGGCGGCTAGCTGTTGCCAGTTGAAGTGGGTGCTACGCCAATCGTTGTCAAGTACTGGCCAGCCGCCCAACTGGCGAATGAGCGAGTGCAGCGGCTCCAGGCCGCGGCGATTAAGCAGCTCGCTATTCACGCACGACTTGTAAAGATTCTTGGCCTTCACTTGAGCGTCGTGTTTGGGATTTAGAAATTCTTTGCTAGTTGCTTGCACCGGTATTCCTTCGTCCTTGTACTTGTCCTTGTCCCTGTCATTGTCCTTATCTTTAATATGTAGCGCAGAAGGCGATGGAGAATCCTGCTCTCTGTTCCTTTCACGCACTGGCTCAAAGAGCCTTTTACGTTTGGTGCCATTGGTAAAGCGCTTATAGCGCACTAGCACCCGATTGAGCAAGTCCCGCCGATGGACAATATGGCGACGGAGACGCTCAGCCTTCAATTCGGATGCTTGATCCGTTTCCGGCTCCTGTTCGTTCAGTTTGAATACGTTTTGCCGCACACGAGTTTCTGAGCTTGGTGACTGCGGATTCTTCTCCAGCAGATTGCGCAGCACCAAGTCCAGACTCTCACGTAGCATCTCGAAAGTATCGAAGCCCGCCTTATCCTTAGGTATGGGATGCAGCCTCTCCCAGTTACCGCAGGCGAACTGGTAAAAATCCACGCACGGATCTACATGTCTGTTCATGTAACGCTGCATGGTCTTGGACTGTGTTAGACGTATATCCTCCCGTGTGCCCTGCTCATTCCAAAATGATTGTAGTGAGATCTCAGCTAACTCCGCGTGCTGTTCCTGTTCTGCTTCACGTCGTTCTCGAGCTGCCTGCCGCCGACGAGACATGTACAGCTTCTTCTCCGGATAGCGTTTGGGCGTGCTCTTCTTGGGACTGGTGTCGAAGTCGTAGCCTTCATCGTCGTCCACAACAGTATTCCTTTCGGCATCAGACAGCTCATTGTCGAAGCACTCGCTTGGCATGGCGCCTATCGCAGAACCATGGGGAAGAAAGGATGTCCGGGCATCTTTCATCAAAATGCTGCGTTCCTCTAACTCCAGCGTCTCACCATTCGCATAACGATAGGGCAGACACCGTTTGGCCTTTTGTGCTGTTTTTAATTCTAGCTGGGTACGCTTGGCGTGCGGCAATAGAAACTCATCATTGACTAGGTCACTGTAGCTCTCGCTGTCCGGCAGCAGCGATTCGTAGTCATCCAGATAACCGGCCACCGAGACTGCAGCTTTGCGTTGATCGCGCACGCGCTGTTCGCTTAGCTGCAGCGCTTGCAACATTCCGTCCAGCCGCAGTAGCAGCAGCAACACCAATGTCAATGGCAGCATCACCACTGGAAGCAGTAAGAGCAATTTACAACAGGTTAGACCGGGACACCATTGTACACGACCCGTTTGCTGATTAACCCCTAGTCCCAACTTGACGCGACGCTCGGCGCGAGCGGCATGCGGATTTGGTGACGGGTGAACCCCGTGCACCTGCACCAGCGTCAGCTTCAATGGGCTGTGACGACTCATAATGCACGTTTTCAAATATGTTTAATCAATATGGAAAAAGCAACGAATAGTGCCGAATGGCGAGCTCTGGCCTTTATTCTTTAATTAAACGCAATTTTTTTCGCGACGCAATTGCGAAAGAATGAAAAGCCGCCAGCCAAAGAGCCGAGAACTGAGAACCGAGCACTGAGCAGCGCGAACCGAGATCTGATAGCTGAGAGCAACCAGCAACGAGATTGAGTGCGGGCGCATCAGTCGCGCGCGCATTGCCTACTAAAACTGCTAGATCTATTTGGGGCTGTCCAGTGCGCCGGTCAAGCTCGACGCAATCACGGCGCGCGACAAACAATTGAATGAAGACGACGACGGCAGAGACGACGCTGACGCCGACGACGACGCCCACAGCGCGGCGCTTAAATAAAACCCCTCAAAAGCATAGCAGCAAAGAAAAAGAGGTTGCGGCAGCGACAGAAGAGACAGAGGCAGAGACGAAGTTGTGATCTGTGTTTACTGTTCAGCCACTGTGTGTCTGTGTGCGTGTGTATGCGGTCTGCTACTTCCATTCAGCTTGCCCGCCAGGGCGTAAAGCTAAATAAATATTGACTGCTTGCAGTAACATTAATGTTCTACCGATATCAATAGGTCTTTGACCTTCTGAAAATGCTTCAACCTGTACCAGAGCCAATCGCATTGCCATAGTCCCAGCATTTGACCCATTAACCTTATTTGGGTGCTTACAAATCGACAACTTCCGGTTCTATTAATGTGCGCTAATGTCTGCTAAACAAAAAAAAAGAACACGTTTTGCACAAGCAACAAGAACAATCAACATGTGCTATCTACAACAACACAATGTAACGATTACCAGAGGCTGCTGCAGCCGTTGCAGCCACAAACATATCGTACTCAAAATTAGTGTCATTATCACTGGCGCACACTCACACACACACACACACACATCAAATTACATATAAAGTCGTACATTCTGTGAATAGTAGCACCTCCGGTTTGACCTCCGTCCGGGTTCAGCTTTGAATTGGGTCTAAATTCAATCAATTTAATTTAATTTCACAAAACAATTGGACAGAACAGACAGCCGAATCAGGTTAAAATTTGTGCTTCGCTGCGCTACACCCTACGGGGTACGGCATATAAACATTGGCAATTGTTGAGTAGTTAAAGAATTTGTGTATACATACGAGCTGTCGCTATAAATCTTTTCAAGCAATCTAAGAGAGGCAAAAAGGGCACTTTTAGGAATGCTTCAAGTATATGTATATTAAATGAAAATAAAAAAAAAGCTCAGCTAAAGTATTTATTTTAATTATATTAGTTTACTTTTCGTTGAGTTTATATAAAATCCAATTTACATAAATCTCTTCTAGAATTTTAGTGAAAAAGTCGCAGAAAAGCTAAATTATATTACCGTGCGTATACGTAATATTCATCATGGTTGTTAAAATGTCAAATGTATTTACTGCTTATATACATAATCACTGGCTACACACATAACACACACATACACAGACACACGCAAGTTACTAGTTAAGTGAATTTAAGCTACTTGCGAGGCGAAAGAAAACTTGTCAGTAAATTGCCTTTCGACATCATTTTAGGTTTAGGTTAGTATTACAAGATTATGCGGATAATTGCTGGCATGCGATGCCATCTAATATGACGACACGCAGCTCATGCTCAACAAAACAGTCTACCCTGCCCCGGACCCACCCACACACAGATTCAACACATTCACATTTAGTACAAGCCTATGGAGATTTTTTGTTGTTGGGGTCCACTTCGCCATCTCGTACCGCACGAATTTGTGCTTCATGAACAGTAAACACGCAAATTAGCTTGAGTGTGTCTCTGTGTGTGTAAAATGAGATGTACTCGTATGCAAATGTGTGGATCGGCCTTTTTAAGCGTGTGTTGTATGCTGCAGCTGTAGTGGTGTTCACTTTGAATTGCCTTTGGCTCGTATGCTAATTTTAGCCTTAAACCTTTTAATTAGCGACTATGACCGAGATTGGATAACATGTCAATTAAAAAGCAGATACACACACAGAACCATATATGCAAATTGGTGGAATGCACTGTCTCGCGGGTGCAATTGCAGTCTGCGGGTCTAAATTTATATAATTGTCAACCTTATGACTTCTAATTTGGTTCAACCATCGGATTCATTTGATCTCTAGTTCAAGAACGCGAATTGTATACAAACGAACCCATTATGAATCAAATATTAAATGCGTGAATCAATGAACATTGAGCAAATAAAAAAACTTTTTACTAGCGCGCTTAATCAAGAATCAGTTGTCCTATCAGCAAGAAGCTCCCCCAGCAAATAATCGGCAGTCAGTAAATCTGACAAAGCGAATAGTCGCATCAATCAGAAAAATAATATATACGAATGCAACTAACACTTAAGTAATGCCTGCTCTTATCTAAGGCTGTGTAACGAACAGATTTCCTGAGTTATACCCCATACTCAAATCTGGATGGTTATTATTAAAACTGATCAAAATTTATGACCATTAACATTCCGATTCGTCTCTCAGAGTTCTTGTTATTTTATAAATAACAAATAATTTTACAGGTCACTCTAATACTTTTTAATCGAACATAATAACTACAATTTTATAATACACTTCACTGTAAGCAGGGTATCTTCAATTTTAGAAAGATAGAAGATTAATATTTGTTTTTTGCATGTCACGATATGTCCCATACGGATGTGAAGTTTGTTCAACTACTTATCGACGACCTATTGAAAATGATTTGCACATTTGCAAAGATGCAACTCACAATGATGCTAATATTCGCACAAAACTTGTTTTCAGCACTTACTACGTGCTTAGTAAAAACTAGGCTGCGTCGGCTCTAACTGTAAGAACTGAATTCAGTTCCTTGAACATCGATGGAATAACTGTTAAGGAACAACACTCACATTCAAACTGTGGTACACTTGAACTTGTACAGGTTTCCAGTTGCTATCGCCTTCACGCACTTCGTGCTCTTTAGATACTGTATCGGAAATTGTGTTTGGTAAGCGTATTTACTGCTGCTGCTGCTGCATCTGCCTGTTAACGCCTTGGAAGCGAAGTAACGAATGCTTTACCGGTCTGACAGTGATGAAACGTTGTTAGCTCTTGATGTGATGTTTTGTTAGCGGGATAATGGTACTGTCCGTATGCCCAGCACTCAGCACTTTGCTGATACTAATTTTAATTGCCGCGAGATTACCGCTAATTGATATGTGCAAAGCAGCGGGCGCATCTGCTTTGTGGGCGCACTTACTGTAAAAGCCAGATGGGAACTCAACTGTGAGCATATCATCAGTGTTTCTTAGCAGTTATCAGTTGACTTAATAGTCAAAGCTTAGTTTGACAAAACTAGTGCGAGTATGCGTACGAGTACGAGTGTAGTTTATTAAACAATTGTTTTGTTAACTAGTCATTTACTGTGTGACTTACGATACTTCTCTGAACTGGGCTTGCTTTGAATCAGTTCGATATTAACTGACAGTTGGTTGGTTGGATGGTTGAAGAAGTCGCAAAGGATGAATGACAGAGAGAGAGAGAGAAAGATGCAGAATGAAAGAGAGAGAGAGATGGATGGAGGAGGGTAAGAGAGAGAGAAAGACAGAGGGAAGTCACGAGAAATAGAAGAGAGACAGAAAGAGACACAAAGAGAAAGAGAGAGAGATATGGCCAGAGGGACAGAGAGAGAGGGGACACTGAGTTCTGATACGAATTATCATCCGCTCTACAGCTCGTGTCATTGGATTGTCAGATGAAAATCATGCACTTAATTAAATTCATTTCACAACAGAATAAATGCGAGTTGTCAACTCTAAAGTGCGTGTAAATAAATTGCAATTTGACATTCGAGTGGTATTAATTATCATAAACACCATAAGGTGTACATTAATCATTCGAATTGGCGTTGTCTGCGCTTTCGTACTCGATTAATTGATTGCATGAATGATTGAGCTTATTTGTTGTCAGACTTTGACAAGAACATTTCAATTTGTATGGTCTGGACCACACCTGATATGTCGATAGAACATTGATACGTTATGCTCAAAATTGTTTTTTTTTTATTTATTATTATCTACACCTGTTGGCATTCAAGCCGTCTGCGAATGTCGTCATAATATGTGCCGAGCCCCGCTTCAAATTCAATTGCGATAATAATTCTTAACGTATTTGTTGAACACTTTAATTTGTTTATTCGTTATGCCTGTTATTGTTATTGAAGTATTTTTTATTATCTAATTTATTTATGATTGCCATTGTGTGTGCGTGTGTGAGTGTTTGTGTGCGTATGTGCGTGTGAGCTTCTAACTGGGCTTATAATGCATTTTCCGAGGTGGCGACCTGAGTAAATGTTTTCATTGCAAATAACCAATGGCTGTGGGCGGCACTGTTTATTCTTTCCAATGTGTGTTATGCTGTAAAGAATTAATTTTTTATTGTTTTTGTGCTTGCTCTGTAGTTCCGTTAAAGCCATGAATATTTATGGGAATATTAACGAGTACATATGTATGCAACTGTAATTAAATTAACATATTCTTTGCCTTTGATTGATATTGAGATATTTGTCATTTAAAAAATCATTACAAAGGAATTTACGTGTAAAAATAAAAAAGGACATATTCCAGCATTACCAAAAAGCTTACCAAAAAGTCAATTGTAATAGCTATTGAATTTAAATTTAATTGGAAAAACGAATTGAATATTATAATGTTAATTAAAAATGTAAACATATTTTTTTGAAGTGAATCACAATGACCAATTAATTATCTGTGTATTTGTTTATTCGCTTGATTACTGCATTACTGCCAATCAATTTGCTTTGCATAATTTCACTGCAGATATTCCACTAATGCACCAAATCCGGGACTTGCGATTCAAATCGTCGCCATTTATTTTGGCTAATTATTGGAAATATCGAATGACAGCCATGCCAGTGGAAAGTATTTCGAATAGAGGCAGGTACAAACCAAAATCGTTGGCCAGCCACAAGCTAAACACTGCCCGCAATTGTGGAACCGCTGTAGTTGGAGCTGCAGTAGCCTCATTGCTAATCCAAAAATGGTCAACGTTTTAATACCTGTGCATAAATCTTATACTATCGATCATTGTCAAGTGGCTAGATAATTTACAATAAATCTGTACAGCGTTAGAATCCGACATAGCCGGGCCA